GTTAAACAGTCGTAGTTTGGAAAGCTTATAATTGTGCGGAGTGTGTAGAATGCGTACCTGATCTTGCCATTATCGAATCTTAGCAGTTGGGTCGCGGGTTTGTACACTGTACCGCCCACACGCCCCATGTGCCTTCCCTGATTGTATATAGGCGACAACTCTAGTAGTACACCGTTTTCCTATTTTAGTGCGATTTTAAGACGATATAGGTACCAAGTTTTCATGGGCATGTCTGGAGTGCTTCGGGTCTCATAACCAACTCACCGGTAGGTCGCCGGAACAGCATCAGATTCTTGAACCCGGTTAGACTTTTGTTAAATGCGGTATGCTCGGTCATGTATGTGCTGCCAAACACTGGACCGTACCCTTCGACATCAGTCCAGCCTGGCCCACTGAAACTGTCGTAGGCCTTGGCGTTTCTATTGAAAAAGGAGTCGGGTAATGTCGCTGGCAAAATTACCGGGAAAAATTACTTTGACGGGAGTATTGTCAACATCCAGTTTTAAGCACCTCCTACCACAATGCGTAACGCCACGCAACATCTCCGTAAGCTACAATAACTCTATATAATTTTCTTTTGCTGTAAACATCCCCTTACATACACACATACGCACACACACACACACACACAAACACGCACACACACATACATACACAAACGTACACACACACACACAAACACGCACACACACATACATACACAAACGTACACACACACACGCACGCACGCACGCAAACGCAAACACACACACACAAACCTCGACCAAATTTTATTCAACAAAATATAATTACTAACGAGAAAAACGGCTCGTTGAGGAAGGATACAACGGGCGTTAGGTTAATAGTGCTGTCTATTTTCTCTAAACTAAAACCAAAACAAAATCACCACCTCAATTTAATTTAACCGGAAACGAAAAATGACATTGAAAACGGATTTTTATCCAGAATCGGTACTTTAATTTATACAAAATATAGCCATAGGCATATCCCTAAACCATGCACCTAATCTCATTCATGACAAAAGTTGCATTTAGAGCTTCTTTCAGGCAACTCTACTTTGGAGGAGGGGGCTCCGCCCCCCCCCCACACACCACCCCCCCCCCCCCCACACACACCAAAACATGTCTACCGTCTCATTCAACGAAAATAATTGCATACTTTTTCCAGTGTCCGTCCCCTCCCAGAAAATTCTACCCCGCCCCCCCAAAAAAATACAGTACCCCCACCTCTCGCCGGGGAGGAAAAAGTCTGAAAGAAACACTGGTCGCATTTGTAGATCATACAAACTAAAGGAAGAACCTGGGCGGGGAAGAGATGCATGAAAAAAACTGTGCACTCTAAACTTTTTAGATTACAAAAAGTTTTCCCCTCCGGGAAGAAAAAGTCTGAAAGAAACACTGGTGTCGCGCTTAGCCATTACCCGAAGAATTGCACGAAAGAAACTGCAAGCAAACCACTTTTTAGATTAGACACATTAATCAGGCGGTAATTTTTATTATAGAGTATCGATGAAGAAATTTCTTTTGAGTTGGGGTGGGGGGGGGGGGGGATCGGCTTAGACGTTGTTTCTCGAGGGTGGGGCTTCGCCCCTACCTGAAGAATTGTATGAAAGAAACTCTTCACGCAAACCACTTAGATTAGACAAAATTGCCTTTTTACTTTTTATTCAATGTTTACTCGAGATTCAATGACGTCATATTACAGTGTGCACTCTCCAGCTTGAGATTATTTTTTACTCTATGCTAAATAGGACGTCATATTTCGTTTTCGTTTCACTGTGCATGTTTTTAAATTGCTTGTGTTTTCTCTAGAGCGTTCTTGTCAGATAGATACATAGATAGATAAATAGATACACAGACAGCGAAACTATTAGTATTAATAGTTTCTCTGTCTATCTATGTATCTATCTGTCTAACAAGAACGCTGTAGAGAAAACACAAGCAAAATAAAAATATGCACAGTGATACGGAAACGAAATATGACGTCATATTGAGCATGTAGTAGAAAATAATATCAAGCCGGAGAGTGCACACAGTAATATGACGTCATTGATTCTCGAGTAAACATTGAATAAAAAGGAAATTTTGTCTAATCTAAGTGCTTTGAAGAGTTTCTTTTATGCAATCTTCAGGTAGTAGCTAAGCGAGACACCAGTGTTTCTTTCAGACTTTTTCCTCCCCGGGGTGAGGAACTTTTTCTAATCTTAAAAGTTTTTAGCGTGCGCAGCTCTTTTCATGAATCTCTTCCGGTAGGGGCGAAGCCCCGCCCACGTTTTTCCTTTAGTTTGTATGATCTACAAATGCGACCAGTGTTTCTTTCAGACTTTTTCTTCCCCGGAGAGGGGTGGGGGTACTTGAAATTTTTGGGGGCGGGGGTAAAACCATATTTTTTAAAAATAATCAATATTGAGTTTTTACTTTCTTGTATACGAAGTATATTGGAAGTATTGTAATCGTGCAAAAAAAAATCATGATTTTATATATCTCGACGTTTTACACCTCCATGAGTTGGAAAAACATAGTTTTGCGATTTTTTCAATATGCCTGTGTGTATGTGTGTATTTTTGTGTATGTGTGTGTGTGTCTGTGAACACGATAACTTGAGTATTGCTAGGTTGATGAAACTTGAAATATAAGTATTATATCAAATTTGTAGTTCTTTATCAACTTTTCAGCGATTTTCCTTTAAGTGTTATTTTGGTAGATAGGTAAAAAAATAGTTTGGAGGTTGAGTTGGATAGAGCAAACGTATGTACATCAACATGCAACAATTCACATGGCAAAAAGACGTTAAATAAATAACTGTCGACCAGGCAGTTACATCAAAATACGGCAGCTTGAAATCTACAGCTGAAGGATAATAATATTTCATTATAGACATGTATGAAATCAAGATACAGTTACAGTTGCCATAGTAATACTTTGTATAGGAAATGTTATATTCTTTTTTTTTCTTACTTATTCAATAGATGATGCTTTAACGGATTTTCAAATTTATGACCACGATGAGGAACCGATCATTTGTTTTTATAACAACAACTTGACCTGTCGTTATGTGGATGTTTCCTGTATATACGAAAACAAAAGAACAAATGTTCTGCACTTTGAATGGGTTAATGAGACAAAAATCTGCGAAATCTTCTTTGTGGCTGGTAAGTTACACTTCTGCTCTTAAAATTTTAAAATGTTCGCTCTAATGTTATCACTTTACTTCTCTGTGAACACGTGAATTTGAGAACCATTTAAGTTAGGTGTATACAATTTCGTGTTTAAGTATTTCTTCCTGTATGTAGTTTAATTTATTTATATTTTTGTATCCCACACAAAAAAGAAAAAATCAATGTGTTACTGTAGTGAACGAGTGAAGGGGGATGAATGGGGGTGAATGTTATTGTACTTGGTACCCTGTCCCGTTCGACCTTCTTCAGTTCTCGTGCTGTGAGTTGTAATAGTCCGGTTGGTACCAGTTTATGAAAGGGTATATAAGGTGTGTGAAAACGTGTGTGATTGCCTCAGTTTGTCCAGATCTCCAAGGTTAGTACAGGTTAGGTTTAGATTAGTTTGTAGCTACTGTATCTTAGTTTACTAGCTTGTGTATTTTGTGTTTAGACTAGACTGTTATGTGTAGATAGTGTATATACTATTAAAATCTTTTAGTTTTCAACGAGCCTTTGTTTCATTCAGTCTTGTGTTGTAACAGTCTTTGTGGTTGTTTGTCTTATGAGTTGCGCTACGCATCGGATCACCCGAAAGGCGTGTCCGTGTGTTCACAACAGTTACCTTTAGTGTACTTTTAAACGAGTGCCATGTTCTTTGGGGCGCGAATTTGTCAACACTATCAATTATACGCCAAAGGGCGAGCTATATAAACATCAACGCTTACACCACTGCAGCTTTTCCTCATCATCATCTTTATGTGACGTTATCGTATAAAAAGATAATTGTTGGAACTAAGAATAGAGAGAGTGTGAGAGTGGCCTCTCCTTGAAAGTGGTGTATCATGTGAACGAGGGGGAATTAGGAATGTTGTTCTTGTCATTTCTTTTAGTGAAAACTAAAAGTGAATAGAATATATTATCGTCATTGATTGAGTTTAAGACGTGGTTATCTAAAATTAAATGTGTAGGCACTGAGAGAGAGAGAGAGAGTTTGTGTGAGTGGCCTGCCCTTGAAAGCCGAGTCCTACTAAAGGAAGTGTGTGAACTCAAAAGTGTGTCGAGAAATGTGTGATGTCAACACAGTGAACCTACTCGTCAGTTTATTACATGTAAATGATACATATTTTCTTTGCGGATTGTACTTTATTTACTATTGTTATACCTGGCCTGAAATGAGCCCAAAATACGTACTAAACCAAGTGGAACAGGTTTCTATTTGATCTTGATGCACCTGTCACAACAAGCCATAATACATACAAAGTCAAGTGTAACAATTGGGGGCTTATCCGGGGCTAAGACACACTCAAGATTCGAACCTAGAAATGGAACGTAAATTTGAAACTATATTTTTCCGGAACAATTGTGACCAATGATGCTACAACCGGCACCAACTGCGAGAGCCGCTTGGGTGTTCCTCCCTGACCAAAGCGCAGCAAAGAAAATAACAGGTAGTGAAATCTCTGTTTTAAAAGCATTTGAGCTTGTTCCCAAAAGCTTGTTCTACTTATGCAGAGATTCTACGAGAGAAAGAGGGGCTATTGAAGAAATGGATAATATTGTAGAGATGGGTACCAGATTTGAGATTTTAATGTCGTCTCACATCAATTTGTAGAATTTACCTCAATCATAAAACCAGACTTCAGAGATAGAAAGAAGGGAAAGTGAAACTAAAATGTCACCACCACGTCACGTTTCTTCAAGAAAAGAGGAAACGAGTTTTGGAGACTAATCCCAAGAAGCGACAATAGAGAAAGTAAAGTTGTTGCATGTGCTGCGTCATATCTGACGATAATCTATCGGCCAACAGCCGCCCACACAAATAGAATACTTAGGCAGTCAACAGATGGTCAGAGTTCACTTAAGTGGAAACGGGGACAGAATTTTCAATATAAAAAAGAAGGAAATCAGAGAAGTTTTAAGTGAGAATACCGAGAGTCTCATAAAGAAAGCGACCCATCCGAAAAGTTAGAGATACGGGTGCGGTCATTATTAGTTGATGGAGTCCTACCTAGTTGATGGAAAAGGGCTTATCAGCATACGGTCCCGGCCTTCGAAGAACCTTTCAGTCGGACAATTATCCACTACTCAAGACCAAATCTGGCTATCAATACCCTTTGTCTGTCTGTCCGTCTGTCCGTCTGTCCGTCTGTCCGTCTGTCTGTCTATATGTCTGTATGTCAATATGTCTGTCTATATATCTGTCTGTCTGTCTTTTCTTTCTAGAATAGGTTTATATTTTAAAAAAAAATTTAAAACTATTTTCCCGATGTATTCTGTGATATTTTGGTGTTTGCTTCCAGGGCGTACTCTTCCCCTAAGATCAGATAAAGAGGAAGGCAGTCTTATCTACAATAATTTTTATCCATACAATTGGAACATTGGTACAACAATGCAGATCTCTTTCCATCTTTTCAATGAACACGCGTACCACTTTCTTAATCTATGTTATGGCTTTGAAAATGGTAAATATTTATTTAACACGAATATCTAGTTTCGAAGCATTTTCCTCTGGTAGTATGTAAGAGGTCAACTATTTATGACTTCTACAAAAATGTCGGATTTTAGACACCCCATACCCTACCCACCGACCACACGTGTCCACTTTCAACGACCCCCCCCCATTCCACCCTCCCTTTAATTGGACGTCCACAAAAAAGTAAGTAGACCTCAGCAATCTTAATATTTTATTACTGAAAAGTATTATTAGAGGTTCTCGTTAGATGTAGGCTACTTCAATAATAAGTAAAGCGGGAGTGATCCCCTAAACTTTCTCAAATATTCTTTTAAAAGTTTTTAAAACGTTTGAAAATAGAATAGAATCTCGTGGTAAAAATATTTTACCACAATTTTACAGAAGGCAGAGAATTAAATATTCTACTTATATGTAAAATTTTATTTATATTTCATACGAATTTCCAATATAAATATTACATCAAATTTGTAAGTTCTGTATCAGCTTTTCAGCGATTTCGGTAACCGGATTTTCAAAATACAATAACTTGTTTACTTTTCAGATATATATACGAGATTCTATTCTTTCTAAAAAGTTTGATTAAAAAATTCATAAAAAATCATGCCTATATTCCGAGTTGCCAATCCCCAAAGAGTTATATAAATATATTCGAGAAACTTTATTCGAGATCACTCCCGGTTTATTAATTTAAATTTTTTATTAAAAAATTAATAACATCATTCTTTTATTTGAACTTTTGGGAAGTTTAAATGTTATAAGTTTCGTTTCCTTTGACTTGATTTCATCAATTCACTTCGTTTAATGTGACGTCATTCAAATAGACTGTGATGGTTTTAATTTACCTTATGTTTTCTCTAGAGCGTTCTTGTCAGACAGATTTACAGATAGAAGACATGTAGATAGACAGAGTGACTGAATAGTGAAACTATTATATAGTACTAGATAATTGGCCAGTTTAATGGAAATACAACTGGCGCTAGGATGATAGTTTTTTTTCCTCTATTCCAAACCCAAAGCCAATATCTCTACCTCAAATTAAATCTAAATTTCAATCCAGTAGCGGAAATGCACCAGGAACTAAAATTAAAATGGCAATTTTAATTTATCTGGAACTAATTTAACCAGAAACGTAATATTATTCGGGATCTGAAGTTAAAGCAATTGATTGACCGGAACCGAAAATTTCATCAATTTAACCAGAACCTGAACTATTACAGGAACTAGAACTATAACCGGAATTTTTAAAAAGCCGGAAGCCGGAGAATAACCTTGAAACGAAACCGGTATTTTAATTAAAAATAATCATAAATCCAAACCTAATCATTTAATCTGGATTCTGAACTTTAAACGGTGTCGAAAATAAACCGAAATTATAATTGCACATGAAATTTAACCGGAACTTTGTCAGGAAGTTTAACCGCAACTGGATTTTTATTTGGTGCCATAAATATAACCCGAGCCAGATCAGGAAATCGAATTAATTAATTAATTTTTATGAATTAATTAAAATGTTCTGAAATAAGTACAGTGACCATCTACAGTTCCGCACTATTATACGCGTATTATGATGTTCATTTGGTTTTTAGTCATGCAACTCTTTTGGCATTAACATTTTTAAAGTATTGAAAAAATACATAAAAACGCTTTGATAACAAGATTTTATTTAACAATGCACTGAAAAGGAGAAAATAATTTTTTTTCTTTAAAAAATATAATAATACACTACTATTAAAAAAACTATGAGGAAAATTAAATATTAATACAGGTTTTCAATAGAAAATATGTACTTTTCGGCACAAGTATACAATAAATTGCTTTGAGGTCAAAATATTTCTTTTGAACTTGCCCTAGTATTTAAACCATTACCTCGTTTGCTCTGACAGTAGTTTATTACGTTTTAAATAAATGTTTTACAACATATGGGTTAGTAACTTTCTGAACTGTGCACGTATGCCTACTAATTTCTAAAATAATTTTCAAAGAGGGTTGTTTGTGACGGCCATAGTTTCTGTTTGCAAAAAAATAGTTATTCTATTTCTGCAGTGTGATGAATCTCGTTTCGATAGCATTTTTGCGATTTCGAGTATTTTGTCCTCATAAAAATAAAGAAAAACAAAATTGAAAAAAAAATCTAGAATGCAGATTTATTTGTTTTTTTTCAGTAAGTCTATTTTTTTCTAAATACAAAATGGACAAAAAGTGCTATTTTGGTTATCGATATTTTGGAAACCAAAAAAAAGACTAACGTATTACTTCAAGATATCAGAGGTCAATCAAAATGAAAACTCATCTAAATATAAGATGGGAACAGGATATTACCCCCACCCCCGTCAATTACCCCTGGACATTCCCCCCGTATTTCCCCCCTGAGCAATTAACTCCCAGCCAATTACCCCCCCCTCCCGGACATTACCTCCCGCCCAGTAGGACATTACCCCCCCCCCCCCTCATCCCCGCAGTCAACTTAAGATCATTATATGTATAGGAGACTGAGAATGTCACTGCTTATGTGGGCTTTTTTCCCCCTTGATTTATTTTGAAGGAGTGGATTTTAAAAGCGTATGACGAAAATGAAAGTCTTAAATGTGGTGCCGCTGTTTATATAGTGAAATTAAAAGAACTAATGCCGGCCGCCGGGCCTATTTCAGCTATGTTTGATTATGAAAAATCCTACATGGATGTTGTTTCTGAATGTTACGAAGGCATACACGTCCAAGGCTGTTTTTATCATTTGACACATAGCCTATACCGAAAAGTACAGGCTCATGGATTTCAAACAAAGTACGTGGATGAAGCATATTTTACCACCATCGTAAGGATGATAGGTGCATTGACTTTTGTGCCAACAGCAGACGAAAATGCAACAACTGCTGGATTATTTTGAGGATAATTATATTGGAAGAGTAAGACGTCGAGGCCGAGCTGTTCCCCTTTATGAGCCTCACATCTGGAACATACACCACCGGGTGGAAAATGAGCTACCTCGCACCAACAACAGCGTCGAGGGTTGGCACCGTAAAATGCAAGCTGCAGTTGCTGCTAGCCATCCTAATATCTGGCGCTTCATCAATATTCTCAAACGTGAGCAAGATCTTCACAAAGTGGTCATCGCTCAGCGGCTTGGCGGACACCCAGTAGAACCACCAAGAACAATTCTCGTATTTTTGACATCGTTAAAACGTAACAACTGGTGGCCAGTATGAAACAAGTAGAAGCATAAACTCGATGCTGTCCGTTTGCCTGATGCTGTCCTGACGTTTGCTTGATGCTGTCCTGTCGTTTGCCTGATGCTGTCCTGACGCTTGCCTGATGCTGTCCTGACGTTTGCCTGATGCTGTCCTGACGTTTGTCTGATGCTGTCCTGAAGTTTGCCTGATGCTGTCCTGACGTTTGCCGGTTGCTGTCCTGACGTTTTCCGGTTGCTGTCCTGACGTTTGCCGGATGCTCTCCTGGCGTTTGCTGGATGCTGTGAGGATGCCGTTAGCCCGACGCTATAGCTGTTTGACAGAGTATGTAACAACAACGACTGCGAGTTGCAAAATTTTGAGATGTAGAATGTTTGAGATAGGTGCAGGAGTCATAAACCAGTGTAGCCATAGAGCGCAGGTTGACTCAAATTTTTGTGATGTAGAATGGTTGAGATATAGGTAGGAGTCATAAACCAGTGCAGCAGGTTGAAGGGACGAGAGGGCTGCAGACAGGGCGTCAGCTATGTCTAAAATCGAATCAGAAGAAAGACTAAAATTGAAGGAGCTGGAAATAGCAAGGGAGGAAGACATAAAGGGCAGGGGTAGAATTAAGCTGACTGGACTGAGAAACAGTAGGGACCAAACAAATATGAAGGTGGTGGTTGACATTTTTGAAAGGGAAGCCCGAGAAATAGGTTTAGAAGATGTTTTGGTGCTACGAGTTCAGAAAAGCTGCTAGATATAGGCTGCGAATCGTGGTTAACAGAATTGGGAGCCGAAGAGAATTATGGGAAGCTGAAAAGGGAGGTTCTAAAACACTTTGGTTTGACGGAGCAAGGATACAGTGAGAAGTTTAATAGCGCCCAACCATCAAAACAAGATAGAGCAGGTAGTTACATTAGGAGGGTGCGACACTACTTGAGAAGATGGGTCGAAGCTAGCAAGTGTGACAAAACATTTGACGGATTCTTTGACCTACTCCTAAAAGACAGAATAGTGAGAACAGTCGGACAAGACGTAAGACAGCACGTCCTTAGGCAAAACCCGAGGACAATAACAGACGTTAAAAATGCTTGTGACAACTACTTTGACATCTACCCAGACAGAAAATTAAAACCGATCGACGTGGCAAAGGACACATTTGTTGCCCCCATGGCACTTGCATCAGGATCTAGGAATCCCTTTAGAGAGGACAGGGACAAACGAACCCTAAGACCTAGATCTAAGAGCCCCATTAGAGAGGAATGGTGCACAAGAAATGAAGTCACCCTTCAACAGGAGCAAAGAAGACAAAGCCCGGTCCAACCTAGGCCGAGTATATACGGGCTCTGTCGTCATAGCGTGTCGAAAAGCTCTTGTCTCAAGAAATAGATGGACAAAAGAATGGATAACCATAAAGACTGCGGATGGAGATAAGAAAAGAGTACCAGGAGCTGTAGTCAACATAGAAACACCATACCTTACGGGAGAGTTCTTTGCCGTCCTTTTAGATGATCCACCAGCTGAACTTATAATAAGGAATGTAGCAGGTGCAAAACTACCGAGGGAAGATTCGCTAACATTAGCGGCGGTAGAAACCACAGGATAACTTAGAGCAGGAGGCAACCAGAGAAATGAGCCGGGGCATAAGATTCTAGACCAAATAACGACACCGAAAGATTTTAAAACGCAACAGAGCGAAGACAAACATTGGCTAGGTGGTGGAAGCTCGCGGAAAAGGGAAAGCAATGTAAAATGATAGATGGTTTATTATATAAGATCATAAAACACAGCAAAACAGAAGATCAGATTAGACTATCAATCCCAAGGGGACTTAGGCCCACCATCCTGACATTAGGACACGGCACACCTATGGCGGGGCACATGGGTGTAGCAAGAACGAAAGCCAGAATTCTGTCACAATTTAGCTGGCCAGGGGCAGGGGAGGATATCAAGCGTTACTGCGAAAGTTGTGATGTCTGCCAGAAAAGCAAAAAGAATGTTGGTGGCAAGGCGCCTATGGGGAGTACTGAGGTAGTGGGACAACCGTTTGAGAAAATCGTCATAGATATTGTGGGACCACTAACACAAACGGAAATAAAAGAACAGATTCATACTCACAGCCGCAGACATATGTACACGGTGGTCAGAAGCGGTACCGCTGAAAAGTGTAACTGCCGCAGAGATTCAAGATGCGCTACTCTCCATCTTCACGAGGATGGGATTCCCGCAAGTCATACTCTCAGATAACGGGACCCAGTTCACGTCGGAAATTTTCTGCACCGTGTCTAAAATGTTGGGGATTAAAATCATTGACGCTTCTGCATATCACGCCATGCAAACGGTGCGGTAGAACGATGTAATGGAACTTTGAAGGAAATGCTAAATAAAGTAGCTATAGACAAGGATGACGATTGGGACGTGTTCATCCCAGCAGCACTTTTCGCCTACATAGAAGTTCCAAACGAAAGCACTGGTTACCCACCATTCGAACTTATGTTCGGCAGGAAAGTGAGGGGCCCGATGAGCATCCTAAAGGATATCCTCATAGGAGAAGTGGGGGAATATAAGACAAGAGCTGCATATGACTACCTGCTGGACCTTAAGCAGCAGTTGCAAACGGCATGCAGTTATGCAACCCGCAAATCAGAAAATGAGAAAGATGAAGCAAAGGGCTACTACGATAGATCAGCTACAACCAAAGATATCAAAGTGGGGGATCATGTGCTGATATTGAAGCCCCAACTATTAAACAAACTAGAGCTAATGTGGGCGGGACCTTACGAAGTCTTAAAAAAATCGGAGACTTGGACTATGTTATTAAAACAGGGGACAGCACTAAGGTGGTCCATGTAAATCGGATGATGCTGTACCATCACAGACAAAAACCAGACGACAGCAAGGAGCACCCCATGTTAGCGGCAGTGTCAGGAGTGATGGAGGCAGAAGAAGAAAACCAAGTATCACTAACAGATGAGGAGGACTTCGAACCAGGTATCCCATTGGACACAATAAAAACACCCGATATACTGGAAGAAACCAAGTTAAGTGATATCAAAATAGTAGACACCCTGACAAAAACACCACGGACGGACCTAAACAGAATTATCCAAGAGTAAACAGCTTTTATTAGCAACTTACCTGGAAAAACAAGTTTACTAGAACATAAAATAAAACTGACCAACACCAGAGCAATAAGAACGAAACCCTACCGCATACCATACGCCCGAAGAGAGCTTATGAAGAAAGAGATGGACGAAATGGTGAGACTGGGGATAATAGAGAGGTCCGACTCCGACTTCAGGGCACCTGTAGTACTAGTTAAGAAAAAAGATGGGTCGACAAGGTTCTGTGTAGACTATAAGAGACTTAATGCAGTCACAGACTACGACGCGGAACCCATCCCAGATACAGATGAGCTGTTCGCTAAATTAATAGGGCAAAATATTTTACTAAACTCGACCTCACAAAAGGGCATTGGCAGATCCCCATGCAAAATGACAGCAAAAAACTCACCGCATTTGTCACACCCTGGGGCCTATTTCAGTTTAATTACCTGCCCTTTGGCCTATGCACGGCACCCGCCACATTCGCCATATTAATGCGAGTCGTATTAAAAGACTTGGAAAATGTGGTGTCATTTTTTTGATGACATCTGTATCTACAGCGAGACATGGGAGGAACACCTTATGGTAATAAAGGCGGTGTTCAATAGATTGAAGGACGCGGGCCTGACAGTAAGACCTGCCAAATTAGAGCTAGGGTTTGAACAAATTGATTTCCTAGGGCACATAGTGGGGAGGGGGCTACTGACACCAGAGAGAAACAAGGTAAACAAAATCTTAAACGTAGCAATACCCACCACAAAGAAAGATGTAAGATCATTAGTGGGTCTTATAGGGTATTATGCTAAATTTATATCAGAATTCAGCGAGGCCGTCGCAATACTGACAGATTTGTTAGCAAAGGGTAAACCTGAAAAGGTCGTGTGGTCGGATGAATGTAACCGTGCTTTAAAACTGGTCCAGAAACACTTGAACTCAGAACCATTTCTTATTTTACCTAATATTAATGAGCAATTTATCCTCAGGACCGACGCCTCGTCAAGAGGTATCGAGGCAGCCTTGATGTAAATGAGAAATGGGGTCCTGAGACCAGTAAAATACATCAGTAGAAAACTCCAACCGTGAGAGACTCGGTACTCTACTATAGAAAGAGAGTGCCTAGCAATTGTCTGGGCCACAGGAAAACTAGCGTTGTATTTATACAACGCTAGCTTTGTACTGCAGACGGACCAGCGTGCTCTAAAATACCTTCATAAATGTAGGTTCAATAATGCCAGACTGACACGCTGGTCCTTGCTGCTACAGGAATATAAATTTACTATAGAACACATTCCGGGGAGGGATAATCTTCTAGCTGATTTTTTGTCAAGAAATTTTAGATCGGGAGTCTGAGATGTAAATTGTAATTAAAACCACAGAATTGTTGTTTTTGTTTGTTTTTTTGTTTTTACTCGGTTGTTTGTCTTGGATTCATGTACAAAGAGATTTATAAATGCATTATTTAGTTACTGTCTTCTTGGAGTAGTATACCTGTCACACCACTTTTTTGTTTTTTTAAATTATTTTTTAAATTAATTAATATTTTTTTCTTTCTCTCTGTTTTTCGCCCTCTAGGTTAACTTAGGATTTGGGGATTTAGTTAGTATTTGTAGTATGTACTACAAATACTTGGGTGGGGGTAGTGTTACGGGTCATTTGAAGGTTAGATTAGAATAGGATAGAATGATCTAGAATTAGGGGAGAGTGAGTGTGTGAGTTGAGTTTACCCTAGAATATTGTTAACCCCGGTGTGTTTGTGTATTGTTATCCCAAGGTGCGGTATAAAAGCTGGAGTGAATGGTTGTCAGGGGTCAGTTGGTATTGGTTAGGTCGAGTGCTATGCTGTAATGTGAATGTGTGAGACCGATTAAACGTATTGAACGTTAACCCGAGTCGTTCTTGTATTTGAAACCAACCCAGAACGTAACAACTATGCCAACAGAAATCACATAGACTATTTAAAAGGGATAGCTTACAATCTTAAAATTTAAATGTTTGTAAGTTTTCCTCTATTTTCTAATTGAGAAATGTACTATTTTGTGTTGTTAGTTTTTTTACTTTCTCGTATATACGAAGTATAGAGAAAGTCTTGTAATCGTGCAAAAAAAAAAAAGAGATTTGTACAAATCTCGACGTTTTACATCTCACTGATACGGAAAAACATAATTTTGCAATCTTGTCCGTATGTCTGTGTGTCTGTGTGTCTCTGTGTGTGTGTGTGTGGAAACACGATAACTTGAGTGCCGTTACAGCTAGGTTGATGAAATTTCATATATAAGTATTTTATCAAAATCGTAGATCAGTATCAACTTTTGAGCGATTTCCGATAACCGGAAGTGGTCCTTTTTTTACTTTAAAATTTTCAAAAGCCTATAACTTGAATACTATTTCAGATAGATAAACGAAGTTTTAAATGTAAGTAAAAGATCTAATTCTCTACCTTTTGTTAAATTTTGAGCCATTTCCGTTGACCGAAAGTATAAATTTACGCTACTTCCGATTTCTCAAAAAACTAATGTAAATTTTTAAAGTACTAATAATATTGCGCACTATTATCATTTTTTTTTTAGCGTTCACTTGGTGTGCAATTCCTTTGTCTACGAGATTTTATTCTATTTTTAAAACTTTAAGTATTTAAAATGGCTTAAAAATCATGTCTATAGCCCGAGTTCCCATCCCCTGATATTTTATATAAAAATATTCGAGAAAGTTTAGGGGAGATTACTCCCGGTTTATTTTATTTTATACATGTAAGTTCATTTAGATTTTGTTGTATATATTTCTTAATGTTTGTAAGTTTTCCATTTGTTTTTTCTTTCAGAAAATAAAAATTAAAAAATGTATATATTATGTTGCTTATTTTAAACTTTATTCATGTTTGTACATTTAGATTTTGTTGTATATTATATATATATATATATATATATATATATATATATATATATATATATATATATATATATATATATATATATATATATATATAGTTTAGCGGGGGCTTGGGTGGAAATGGGGGAGGGATTAATTATAAAGGGGCTAATTGACAGGAGGGTAATTGACAGGTTGTATTTGCTCCGGGGGGGGGGGGGGTAAATACAGGGGGGTAATTGAGGGGGGAGTAATTTCCTGTACAATGTCCTCATACAATCTTATTTCATCTACCCAACTTAAACAGAACTCACATTATCATGTTGCCGTCGAAATAAAGTACCACTTCATGTTACCTGAAATCGATCAAAAATGATCTGAAAGTTGCCGATGCAATATTATTCTAATACGCGTAATTAAATCCACCTTTCTGAAATTTTTACTAACGAGATTTGATTTTAAGTTATTTAATAAGAAATAGTGTTAACAGTTAATTTTACCATCCTTTATACATGTAATTTGCGATTACATTACTATAATATGCTAATAGGAATTACTTATTGTATCACGATTTCCTAAATTTTCAAATTTATTATTTCAAAGTCAAACTTCAGATAATCTCATATGATGACGAAAACAACATTGAAGTTACAACTCACAGTACAACGGGAGTGACTCTATGTACTACAATTGGAAGGTCACAATTTACAAGTAAATTAAAAATTTCTCTTAGTAAAGTTGACCATCTTCAAGCAGCGACAATTTGGGAGCTACGTTTTTATGGTGGTAAGTTTGATATTATAACATTGAGCTATACATTATAACGATTATCCAATATTTACAAATACATTATCTTTATTTTTTCCAAATGTGACATAAGCTTAAAGGGATATGCTCCTTACAAAATCACAACATTCCTTGTTTTTCGTCATGATGGGTTTGTTGCACTTTTGGATACTTTGTCCATTTTTTGTATTAATGAAAAAGAAACTTTGTATTTAAAATACCATTTTTATGACCCTATTAATTAAAAAATAATTATTTTTTCTCAATCTTACAAGCTCTCTACGAAACATTTTATATTCGTCATCATATTGTATTTCACATCAGTGCAAAGCTGCTTTTCTTATGTATTTGATAAGCGTGTTTTCGATCATCTCATCGGCTTTACAAATTACATAGATATGGTGTTTCTGTGACCTACTTTTCGTTATTTTTTGCTGTTTTTCTCAGTTCGTATTTTTTACCACTAAAAAGTGTAGTATTTTTTATTTATTAAACAAAGCCAATCATATTTTCAGTAACTTTTCTTCATGCATAAATAAAACTTTTTTTCATTAGGGAAACGTGATGGATTTCATAAAAGAAAATAAGTTAATGGTAAATAATGGAAAATTTTGAAACTTTTGAATACTAAAAAGGGAACTATTTTTCAGACCTTGGAAAAAGTTGTTGTAACAAAAGTTGTAATATATAATGACATATAAGCCGTTTAAATTTGATTGCTATAAATGCATACATAGTAAACCTTTAGAGTTTTTAAAAGTACCAACAAATTTAAAATGGCTGATGTTTTTTTCGGGTTTCCACGACAACCAACTTTGTTTTCAAGCCTTTTATTTTGCTTTTTAATACTCACTTTTATGTGTCAAACATGGTAAAAGTATTCAATAAGCTTTAGATCTTAAATTGTAAACAATAGGAAAAAAACAGATCGTATCCCCTTTAAATGGAAATGCATAAAAATTTTAACTGCGAGTAAAATTTTCTTTTATATCAAAAACAAATTCTTCTCGACGACTCGCCCCCCCCCCCCCGATTATATCTTGTTAGGTTGTAGACCAACGCCTATAGATGCCAGGAAAAAACATGTCAGAACTGGTGAAAATCCTTAAATTGTTAAAAGCAGACCAATCATATTTTCTTATATAATCTTTGTAATTTTAATAAAGAAAACGATGGTAATTTTCAAAACGATTTAAGGGTACTTATGCTCTTTACATCTTGTTATTATTTTAACGCTCATCGGTAATTGATGGCCGTGCGGGAAAGTGTCGGGCAGATCTTTGGTACACTCAGAATTAAACAACAACTGGTAATTGATGTTTTATTACGACTTTTTCCAAGGCCGTTACTTCCTTAAATGTTTATTTTTAGAAAGGTAATTTTACTATTTGTTATAGTATTATTCTCAGTACAAGTTAAATATGTGTTATTTTAATCATAAACGTAACTTTCTATGATTAGACAGCAGAAGCAAATTAAATAAAAGCATGTAAAAAACGCAAAACAATCGTTATAATAACAAGACTTTTTTGTAATAATGCACAAAAGCGATAAAATAATGATTTTCTTCTAATATAATAATGAACTGAATTTTAAATAATTAAAAATAAAAGCTTGGTTGCTTCTTAAACCGTAGTAAAGTTATTCAATACATAATATAACGACCCTCGCTTTTCTTTTTAGTTATTTAAATAGTAGTTCATTATTATATATTAAAAGAATCATCCTGACCTGACCTGACATTATCTCACCTGACTGTGGTGTCGGGATTTCGATATATTATATTAGTGGTACACTATTATGTATACTATAATATATTACACAAAAAATGACAAAAACACGTGGATAAAAGAAAAATTTCTTCAACTTTATACTACTGTTTACAAAAAGTGGTAAAAAAATTAAATCTTGTCTAATAACTGATATTTGATCCATATCTGATGTAAACAAAGCAACTACGTCACAGATAAACAATGAAGTTCATTAGTCGGTTTGTTAAGTATTTTCCGAGGCACAGGGGTATTTACGTTTAAATACGGGTATTGCATAGTTATTTTTAACACTGTTATTCAATAGTTAATTAAAGGTTTTTACTTTTAAATAAAGCATTAATGAGAAAACGCAAAGAAAGAGAAACGCAAATAGTTTGGACAGTAAAATAAATTGAAATCAATTATTCATTAAACTCCTATATGGAATATTAATTAAAAAAAAACTACGCATCTAATTAATTTTTATTGCAAAATAGATAGGTTTTAAAGTTTTAAAATTGTAACAACAGTATTTGAAACCAAGCGATTCAATCTGTTTTAAAAAAAAATCAATATTGTGTTGTATTAAATTTGGTCGTGGTTTGTGTGTGGGCAGCTATCCATTCGGGCGTTTGTCCCATTGAGGCAAGTATCTATTCGGTGTTTTTTGCATTCGGGCAAGTGTCCATTCGGGCATTTGTCAAGGACGTTTGTTGTTTCCTCCCTTCCAGAATGTTCTGTAATGAATAAGTTAAGTGTCATTAAATAGCTCCGATGCACAATTATCTGTAGTTATTTTCCGGATGTTTCATTTGTACGTACGGTTAAACACACTAAATCCGTCACTTGTATCTCAACTTGTGCTCGTATGTCTTTGACAGGTCTAATCTCTAAAATCTCTTAAGTCTAGCCACTCGTATGTCGAGGCACCACTGTATACTTTTAAACGATACTATTTCGATAATTTATTATAGAATATTTTATTATATCACCTAATGTTGTAAGTAAGTAACTAGCGTTTTTCTGTTTAATTGTTTGACTCTGATTCTTGTCATATTTGTTTAACGCAAAAGTAAGTGTATGGTTTGCTGTATTGAGCATAGCTTAATGCAATGCTCTTTGATTTTTATTTATATTAAACAAAAATAAAAATAAACACACATCTCTGCGTTAACATTTACATTAAGAAATTGCGATAAATTGGATGGAATAAAGCGTAGTAAATAAGTTAGTATAGTATTAAAAAAAAATTTATAATGAATTTTAGCTAAATATGAATTGTTTTATTATTATTATTATTATTATTATTATTATTATTATTATTATTATTATTATTATTATTATTATTATTATTATTATTAATCTTTATTATTATTATTACTATTATTACTATTACTATTATTATTATTATTATTATTATTATTATTATTATTATTATTATTATTATTATTATTATTATTATTATTATTATTATTATTATTATTATTATTATTAATAATAATAATTACATGCCGACAAACTACCCAATAACAAAGTCCTCAGGTCAAATCCCCGATGTGGTTCATGCCAAGTTTTAATAAAAAACCTAAGCAACGGCGGTGTGACACCATACAGTGACGCAACGGGTGAAAACCGACTGAGTGATGAAACAAAATAAAATAAATATACATATATTGTTACAGATTGTGAAGCGCCCTATTATGGCCTTGAATGTGACCATGTTTGCAGCAGAAGCTGTTATAAACGAGTTTGCTATTTGGACGGAACATGCCGTGCCTGCTACCATGGCTGGAAAGGCGCGCAATGTGATCAAGGTAGATAAGATAATACATTCGTTACAAAGGTAAATTTATTTTGGTTTCATAACCCCATATGCTTAAAAACACACTTTTTATTTTGATGGATAACCTTCGTTTACATTTTTTCTCGTAGCATTTAAAATAATTATCACACTATTTCTAACAGAACCTAACACTAACTCCAAACCACAACTACAAACCTATAGCTAACACTCAGCACAATATCAATCTTAACACCAACTCTAAACCTAAATAAAGACCTAACAATAACCCTAACCCTAATTATTATACCTTAAACCTTAAACCTGAAACCTTAGACCTTAGACTTTTAACCTTTGACCTTAGACTTTAGACTCTTAATATTTAAACCTTAAAACTATAGTCTTAAACCTTAAACATAACCCTTAATTAAACATAACCCTTAACATAACTCCTAAACATAACCTTTAGACATAACCTTAAACATAACCTTAAAACTAACCCTAACCTAAACTAACCTAAACCTAACCGAATCCTAACAGGAAGGGTGTAGCCTGGGGGTGTAATAACTCCATGGGTAATGTCGTGGGGGGGGGGATGTCCAGGGGTTATTCACTGGGCGGTTAGGGGTAATGTCCTGCTCCCATACAAAACTGATTAAAAACATACAAAATCATTTATTTATAATCACATTGTTTAACCCCTCAACAAATATGTCTTACATTACTCTGAATTCTGAATTCATAGTTTGATGCAAGACGCACTATTATACTCTGAAATTGTCATCTCTCGCACTGGTCTCTCATCATTTGGCTATCACTGCTACTTTTAAGATATAACATAGAAAAAAATTCGGAAAAAAAAAATGTGTGACGGCTTTTACACTTTGCCCGCTAATCAATTTAATCATTATCATGAAAAAATTATGACCCTCCACGACTTCCCTACAAATGTCGCATCACTCGTCAGCCTAGCTACAATACCCAAATTGCACATTTTAAAAGCAAAAATCATGAATGAAAGTATTAAATGAACCCGATCACGATTTTATGTATGATCACGTTTTATTTTCCTCGGACTGACATTTGAATGGGGTCTTACATGTGCCCTTTAAAAGTATGAAATAAAATACCCCAAACAATTAAAAAAACCAATTTTTTTCACATTTTCTTACCCCCCCCCCCCCTCCTCCACTTTCTTTTGTTCCTCATAAAACATTGTCACAGAGATTTAATGAATGCACTACCACTCACATTGTTTTGTTTCAACCGTTGTTCTGATCACTACTTAATGCAATTGTTTTATCGTAATGTATCTTGATCACGTTCACTTTTTAAAACCTGAATTGTGTTTCAGAAGATACTGAGGCTTTCTATGAGATCAAAGGACTGATCACACAAAAACCGTGGCCTCTGCCGCCGGTTTACCCCCCACCCCCACAACCTCGGTACAACAGCACCTTCCTAGGTTTGGCTATACTGCTGGTGGGGTCGGTGATTATAGCTCTGATGATTGCCCTCACATGCTACCTAAAGCCTGTCTACATAGTGGCTACCATAGGTAGTTTTATTAGTGGCTACCATAGGTAGTTTTATTAGTGGCTACCATAGGTATTTTTATTTGAATATTGCGTTACGTAAAATGAAAATAAAGATTTTAAGATATGCTTCTCGCCAAGATTATTCCATATTCCGTTTAACCATTTTTTTTAATTTAACAGACAACTTGGTTAAACCAATTTGTTTTTATTTAACAGGCGTATTTTGGTTAAACCAATTTTCTGAATCAAGACATACCTTGGTCAAACCAATATTCCGATTTACCAGGCATAAATTAGTTAAACAAATTTTCTAAATCAACAGACATACATTTAGAAACAGTTTTGTGATTTAACAGTTTTTTTTACATTTAGCAGAAATACATTGGATCATCTTTCTAGATGAACAGACATACATTGGTTTACCGAAAAATACTAATTTAATTAATGTATCTCTATGTAAACATGTTTCACTGGACATCCTTTTGAATCCAATAAAATCCATTTGCTTTCCCCACAGATTCGGATAAAGTTGACGACTTCATTGGTAAGTGGGCGTAGAAGGTAAATGCTTGCTATTTGTGGAACGTGCTAAAAGTGTACAACACAAAAGTAAAACATGTTGATCAACCCCTACCCGAAACAACATTATATAATATTCCTAGAGATAGCCCCATCTTATTATATCGCAATTCTAGGAACCAACTTCCCTCCACAACCACTTTCCACCGCAACAAAATTCCCCCAAAACCACTTTCCCCAGCAAGCACCTTACCCTAACACCACTTCCCCCACCCACCAGCCATTTCCCACACGCAATCACCTTCCCTCACGACCACCCTCCGTCCACAAATACCTGTCCGACTTAAACGACTTCATTACGCTGTTCGTTACTGAAGCAATGTTTGGATTTCTAAAACCAATTAGTATTTTGTATCCTATTAATTCCTGTGTTCTAACTGTTTAATGGTAGACACATTAATTTATTAGACTGATTTATTTCAGGTGTAATATTGTCATTTAAGCTAGTATCAATTCTAGTTCTTTGTTGGCTTGTGCTATTTAAAACATAATTGCTTAGGTAGTCTATTTAAGATCACATGGACCTTCAGGTTCAAAAATGGAACTTTACTTCAGTTATATTATTACTTGTTTCCATACTACGAGCAACAAGAGACACAAACATTATTAGACAGAATGAAATGAAGAGCTTCACGTTTTTCGCACCGGTGATGTTTTTCTTACAGCTAACCGAGCGAGTCGACAACTGAGAGTGATAGACGGGCTCGACGATAATGAAACCGCCGACAATGATGATGATGAAGATGACGATGAAGACGTTGAAGATGTAGATGATGATGATGAAGATGAAGATGAAGATAGCGAGGATGATGATACAAATACTGATACCAATTCTGATGAGACAAATACAACTTATGCTACTAATACTACCGATGCTACTGATGATACTAAGGATAGCAACGATAGCGAATTATCTTAAGCCTGTTAATAAGTTCTTTAACCGGGTATCAGTGGGTTTAAAATTAAATTATTTGTATATATATATATATATATATATATATATATATATATATATATATATATATATATATATACTGAACATAAAACCCATTTTTACTATAGTGTTAAAATAGTAGGAATGAGTTCTTCTATTCACTTTATAAATTGCAATTTAAATGCTTAGTTATTGATTTCAGCATAAAGGCAGATAAACAAATTATCTTACAGAAACTACTGTAGGTATATAACATTTTTATCATTGGGTCGGAAATAAATAAGGTGTTACAGTAGGGTTACCTCTATCAGTGTGTAGTTCTGGTCATTGGTTGACTGGTTCGAGCTGTGTGAACAAAAAAATAGAGATGTATTGCTGTAACGTCTAAAAAAAAATATTTTTATATATAGATTTTTTTTAGGTTCTAGCATGATTTTACGCTCGTCTTCAAATGACATTGATTAGATAGACATAACTAAAGCTATATTCAAAATGTTAAGTTTAAAAAAAATTAATACTATGATTATGATTTTAATTTTGTTGATTCATAATGTTTGGAAAATTCACGAGTTTTGTTGAATAATATGCCTTCTCATAGCTTTAAGTATTAAACTGTTGTTTTTTAAAATTCATGAACACTTAGAACTGAAGGATTGGAGAGAGTTAACGACGTGTTTTAAAAACCCTCTAGAAGGCTACTAAAACACTGTTTAAGCATCATTAATGTTGAAGTGTTTGCTTATTTATGTGTTTGTTTTATATGCCTAATACATATTTGATTGAGTATTTTTGTCGGAGTAGAAAGCGATGAGTGGTGGGACGTTATAGTTTTTGGGTCGCCATTAAATAAGTATAAAAGAGTGTAACAACCGACAACAACTGATTGTCGTTCCATTTTAATGAATTGAGAAAACAGGGTGTTTTTCATAATGTTTTTTGTTTTGCTTTTGCAATCGTTCATAATGCATGCCTATTATCTTTTAATTTTAGCATACATTATAATGTTTACTTTAGTTGTTTTAACTTTTTAATTTTTTTTTCTCAAAATAACGTTGACAATTTAAAAACATTTTGAAATTTTTACGTTAGTTTGCAACTTTAGATATTTTTATTAATTTATTTAAAGAGATATGCTTTCTCCCAATACTTTTGAATATTTGAATATATTTCTTTAATCCAGTCTCACAAAGGCTACCCCTTATATTGTTTGCAACCTTTTTTTCATGTTTTTGAGCGGATATTTCAAAAGCTTGATTTATTTTTAACAATCAGAGTAATACAATTTAATATGCTCAGAAGTTTTTTTTTTGTTTCTTTACCAGGCTCATAATGTATTAACTGTCATAGATTCGTATCTTGCAATGCCAATTTTCAAGTTTGTTATTATTTCACAAGCAGAATTCCCTTACATTTTGAACTTTACTAAAATAAATGTTTACTTTTGAAGTTTTGACATAATTCTAAGTTGTTTTTTTTAAATTAAGCTCAAAAGATGTTAAGTGTCTAGATGCGTGTTTTTTTTTCGAAAGTTAAAATGTGATTGTAAATTAAACAGATTAAAGGTTTATTTTCTCTTCAATTTGCGTTTTAAAATGTTTTATTTTGCCTGAATAATTTGCATGCAAGATTAAATTTTATCCTTATTAAAAATTTACTGCTGTGTAGGCCCTATATAGTTGTTGTGTGATTTTATTTTCCATATCTTGATTTATCTCTATTGATTTTAAAGTGTAAGTTTATAAACTGGCGAAGTGGACCCTATTAATTAAAAAATAATCAAATTTTCCCAACCTCACAAGCTTTCTATGAAAAGTTTTATATCCGTCATCATATTGTATTAGGCATCATTGGAAAGCTGGATTTCTCATGTATTCGAGGGCTTTGATAGAAAAATGTTCAGTAAATAATATTCACATTTTGAAACTTTTGAATGCTAAAAAGTGTATGATCTTTTAGACCTTGTAAAATTCTTATTATTAGCTTTTTCAAAAAGTTGTCGTGACAAAAGTTTAATATATACTGAAATATAAGCCTTTTGAATTTGATTGCTATAAGTGTATAAATAAACAGGCGTAGCATTTTTAAAAGTTACAAACAATTTAAAATGGCGGAGGTTTTTTTTGGGTTTCCATGACAACCAAAATTGTTTTCAACCCTTTTTTGGCTGTTTAATACTTACTTTCATGTGCCAAACATGGTAAACGTAGTCAAAAGGCTTTAGATATTAAAATGTAAAAAAATAGAAAGAAAAAAAAAACGCAGCATATCTACTCAATTTTATTTGTAGCTCAGCGTCTATAGTCTTTTTCGTGCTGTCAGTCCGTTTTCTCTCCGCCATTTTTACGATTTCACCAAGGGATCAAAGTTCGAATCTTGTGTGTGTTCAAACCCAGACCCCCAATTGTTACACTTGACTTTTTATTATGGCTTTGTTGTGACAGGTGCACCAAGAACAAATAGAACACTGTTCCACTTGGTTTAGTAGGTATTTTGGGCTCGTTCGGGCTATGTGTAACAATAGTAAGTAAAGTAGGCCCCTACAATCCAAAAAGAAAGAAAAAAATTTCCACCGCAGTAAATAATGTTAGTCATTGAGCCTAGGAATAGTTTCATTCCGCTTATGGGTAAAGAGAAATAATTCACTTATGTTTAAAAATAACTTGCGTGTCTCCCCTTGAAGAGTACAATGTTTCTTAGGGGTCATCCATTTATGACGTCCAAAAAATTGGGATTTTAGACCCCCCCCTCTCGCCCAACTCCATACGCGTCCGCTTTCGACGAGCGCCCCCCCCCCCAAATGTGGACGTCAAAATTGTTTTTGTAAATCTCTCAAAACATGCTGCCAAATTACTAATTCAATTGAATGCATTATGTACCTGGCTATGCTATACATTTGATATATTTGGCAATGTGTTGAAAAAATAAGTATGTTTTGAACGACTTAAGCACATGCGACATGCACTGTATTTTAAATTTCTAATTTTAACGTGATTATTTTACGTGTATTACTTGAAATAAATAACAAGATCTACTTCGTCTTGGGCTTTGACACAAAAATAATGATGTAGGCCTAATATGATTTGGTTGCATTATTTATCAGGGAGGTCTAGATCTATGTGTTTTTAAACTTATGTTTCAATTGTTTGAAATGCTTAAAGATAAATTTGAAATTCGGTGGATTATATTAGAAAATTGCCGCGTTCAATGCCCCCCCCCCCCCCACCACTCCCCTCTTGCTTTAGATGGTATTTTATTTAACACGAGTACCGGCGATTTAATTCTTACATTCATACATAATTCATGCATTGTTTAACTTTGTAAATTTTTGTACAAAATTTTAGATTAATTAATTAATTTTGTGTTTCAGTGTATAATATTTTGTAAATATTTTAATAATATTCCAGACTTATACATTCACACTTCTTAAAATTGCAAATTGTACCCGTCGAGTTCTCCTCTCTAAAGATTATATTTAAACGAGTACCGAAAAGTCTCGAGTTCGAACCCTCGGGCAGATGAGGCTCGTTAGCTGGGGACAGCCACTCTTCTAGGAGAGACAACTCCAAAATCAAACAACGTAGTTTGTTCTTGGTTGGACAAAGGCTATATTATTATTAATTGGTGGCGTTTCGCGTCACCAGCATTCCCGTAGATTTTCGTGCACTTGTAATGTCGGGGAAATAAAGCTACAATAGGCTAGGGCAGGGGTCGGCAACCTGCGGCTCGCGAGCCGCATGCGGCTCTTTTGATATCAAGATATACAGCTCCTTGAACAAATACTAATAATCTTAATAAAACATAAAATATTTGAAATAAAAAATGTTAGTGGCTCTTTAAAACCATGGAAATTTTGAAAATTGTAACTTTTGGCTCTTCCGCTTCAAAAGGTTGCCGACCCATGGGCTAGGGTTCGAACGGGAACGAGACCTGTGACTATAATTATAGCAAAATAATCGGATCTTGTAAAAAATGTGTTAGTTTACTGATAGTATTTTGTTAATGCTAAACCCTTTTCTTCAAATCCAGAAGTTTCTACATCAAAATAATGGCGTCCCATACCATATGCCAAGGTCACATAAACAGGTGTACTCTACTTTACCTTACCAAATGACGTTCAGGTTTGATAAGGGAATTCTACCACAAACCCGTATCCAATTCATCACAATTAAGGAATATACGTAAGAATGGGACGTTATGGTTACTGGTAGTAATTAAAAAAATCTAATATAAAGTGTTTATGTAAACGCTTACACCAAACCTACCATAGTCCTAATTGTAATTCAGGTCTTAACGCTGAAGCTTATGTAACAATAGTGTCCAATAAGGAATCGTATTTTAAAAGGGGTGTTAAATAATACTAATATGCTTTCTCAATTTAAACGCTAACCCTATCCCAGGGGCGTAGCGAGGGGGGGGGGGGGGGGCGGGGGGTGCGGACTGCACCGGGTGACACCATTTAGGGGGTTGACACCAAGGCAAAAAATAGCAAAATATAGAGAGAAAAACTTGAGGGGGGGGGGGTGCAAATCGAAAGTTTGAGGGGGGGGGGGGTGCAAATCGAAAACTTGAGGGGGGTGCACATCGAAAGTTTGAGGGGGGGGGGGTGCAAATCGAAAATTTGAAAGTTTGTCCCCGGGAAGGGTCGCAACGCCTCTGGGGGAGGTGACACCATTAAGTGCCGCACCGGGTGACACCCGACCTCGCTACGCCACTGCCCTATCCATAAACCAAACTCTAAACACAAGTCGTACCATTGTAATAACCCTAACTTTCGTCCATAAAATTCAACCTGAGATTACAAAAACTATTAACAACCTAACACACCAATTGTTTTGAGCATCCAAGTTTTATTAATTCTGCTCAAACTTATGACGTCACACCAGTGGCGTAGCACGGTCGGGTGTCACCCGGTGCGGCACTTAATGGTGTCACCCCCGAAGAGGCGTAGCGACCCTTCCCGGGGACAAACTTTCAAATTTTCGATCTGCACCCCCCCTCAAACTTTCGATTTGCACCCCCCCCCCCCTCAAGTTTTCGATTTGCACCCCCCCCCCCCCTCAAACTTTCGATTTGCACCCCCCCCCCCTTCAAGTTTTTCTATATATATTTTGCTATTTTTTGCCTTGGTGTCACCCCCCTAAATGGTGTCACCCGGTGCGGTCCGCACCCCCCGCCCCTCCTCGCTACGCCCCTGCGTCACACTCATGAGTTCGTTTAAATTAACAACAAAAACACCAGCTGTTATGTACCACCCAGTCACGCTTCATGGGTGTGTCATGCTTTAGTGGGTTTTAAGGCAATTAGTCACGACAGAGACGTAGCGACCCCTCCCGGCGCCCGGGGACAAACTTTCAATTTGGCGCCCCCCCATATATTTTTTATATTTATAATTTAAAATAGCAGCTAAAATGAGCTTATTTTGGCGCCCCTAGCGTCTGCGCCCGGGGACATATGTAATCCCCCTCTGAGTCAAGAGATAGCCTCCATCTGTGATCGTAGTTCATAGTGTAAAAAAACGGGGGGGGGGGGGGGGGGGGAAGTTGGTTCTTGAACTTATGTTATGACTACTTTGTGAAGCAAGCTCTCTATAAGACAGACTGCTTTATAAAGTGTCTCTGTTCAGTAACCGAGACTCTTTGAAATGTCCTTTGTAGTGCTTGTTTTTCTGGAAAGTGAATTTCATTTGGAGTTTCGTATGGTTTCACAAAATGAGGCAGTTTCCTTACATCTTATGCTTTAGATTTGTTGACTGAAAATTATTTTCTTTAAAACCTTTACTTATTCAACATACGTCGAAATCAATTGGTAAACCGCTAGTAAGTCTGACTCAAGCAATAATTTAACTGCAACATTGCATGCAAGTTGATATTTGTTGGCCCAGTTTTTCTGTTGAAAATTCGCGAAGAAAAATCACAAATAAAATGGAAATTGTTGCCAGAAAGTTAGATTTTCGTCAGGAACTTTATTTCGAGATGAGTGTTTTGAATTGCAAAAAGAAATAAAAAGAAATAAAAGTTCTATTTTCTAAACTTTAAAAGTTTCAAGATAAATTTTAAAATATTTCAAATTAGAATAAAAAATAATGATTCACTTAACAATAAATTAATATACTCATACAAACATACACATTATTGCGAAACGGCACATGCACTTACAAAGACACATCAACATTCGCAAAATTATATTTACATGATGTTTTAATGTCAACTAATACTAATAGGGATAGTTATAAGGATAAGTAAGGATTGGAGTTTTTAGCGAGAGCGATAAGGATAAGGATGGACAAACGCATTAGCATTGACATGAGCGTGTGCTTATGGGAAAGGACAAAGTCAGTTCAGAACAAATCAAATCAGAGCGGTCAGGTTAGGTTAGGTTAGATTAGGTTAGGTTAGGCTAGGCTAGGCTAGGTTAGGCTAGCCTTGGCTAGGCTAGGCTAGGCTAGGCTAGGTTAGGCTAGGTTAGGTTAGGTTAGGTTAGGTTAGGTTAGGTTAGGTTAGGTTAGGTTAGGTTAGGTTAGGTTAGGTTAGGTTAGGTTAGGTTAGGTTAGGTTAGGTTAGGCTAGGCTAGGCTAGGTTAGGCTAGCCTAGGCTAGGCTAGGCTAGGCTAGGCTAGGCTAGGCTAGGTTAGGTTAGGTTAGGTTAGGTTAGGTTAGGTTAGGTTAGGTTAGGTTAGGTTAGGTTAGGTTAGGTTAGGTTAGGTTAGGTTAGGTTAGGTTAGGTTAGGTTAGGTTAGGTTAGGTTAGGTTAGGTTAGGTTAGGTTAGGCTAGGCTAGGCTAGGCTAGGCTAGGCTAGGTTAGGTTAGGTTAGGTTAGGTTAGGTTAGGCTAGGTTAGGTTAGGTTAGGTTAGGTTAGGTTAGGTTAGGTTAGGTTAGGTTAGGTTAGGTTAGGTTAGGTGAGGTTAGGTTAGGTTAGGTTAGGTTATTTTAGGTTAGGTTAGGTAGGTTAGGTTAGGTTAGGTTAGGTTAGGTTAGGTTAGGTCAGGTTAGGTTAGGTTAGGTTAGGCTAGGCTAGGTTAGGTTAGGTTAGGTTAGGTTAGGTTAGGTTAGGTTATTTTAGGTTAGGTTAGGTTAGGTTAGGTTAGGTTAGGTAGGCTAGGTTAGGTTAGGTTAGGTAGGTTAGGTTAGGTTAGGTTAGGTTAGGTTAGGTTAGGTCAGGTTAGGTTAGGTTAGGTTAGGTTAGGTTACGTTAGGTCAGGTCAGGTCAGGTCAGGTCAGGTCAGGTTAGGTTAGGTTAGGTCAGGTCAGGTCAGGTCAGGTCAGGTCAGGTCACGTCAGGTCAGGTCAGGTCAGGTCAGGTCAGGTCAGGTCACGTCAGATCGGGATATGGTAGGCTACGTCAAGTTAGGTTAGGTTGCTGTATATTATTTGTATATTTTTTGTTTTAGAAGTAATGTAAGGTTTGTTTTTGGGTTATATTTCGTGTATTGTGACCTTGGACACTTTTTAAAATCCCAGTCAATCATATTTATACAATATTATATTTCAAATGAGAGTAGTTATCATAAGGGCTAGTTGACGAGTAATTCATCTGGATGCAATTTCAAGTGGAAAATTACATGAAAAAATCGACCAGCGTGTAATGTCCTAACACCATTCCAACAATCATACACATACATACACAAACCACATACACCAACACACATAATATTTCCACTGTACGGAAGTCAGGGGAGTCGCCGCTATATTTTTATCTTGTCCAGTAAAATTTTCTCAATTCCAATCATGGGGGACTCCAGCCCCAGCATGAGGACGAACGCCGCCATGTAGGTGAAGAACAGGATTCCCATGTATGAGATGGCCTGCAGAGGGGAGAAAGTTGAGCGATAATCAGAGTTTCTTCCAGGCATCTCTGCAGTGGGAGCCCCCCCCCCCCACCCGAAAAAATTTCACCGCCCCCCCCCCCCCCCCGAATGAAATGAAATTTATATAATTTATATAGAAAATATATTTTTTTAAAATTGTCCGCCCCCCCCCAAAGAAAGTCTACCGCCCCCCCCCCCCCCCCGGAAAATTTCAAGTGCCCCCCCCCCCCCTCCCCGGAGAAAAAAGTCTGGAAGAAACACTGGCGATAATAGGGCTGGTAAGTAGGTCACCAACAAGTTCTACGGCTCAATAAAACCTGCATGAGCCATAGAACTGGTTGGTGACCTACTTACCAGCCCTATCACATGGCTGACATTTCTATCCAGTTTTCTTTACAACATCAGTTTTCAAGAAACTTTTAAAAATTATTTTCAGTTTCAAAGTGAAATAAGAGTTTTTGAATCTTCAGCTTTAAACAACAAATATTGTTTGATTATAATGTTATAATGTATATAAGCCTTTCGTAATTAAATAGCTCACAGTGTGGCTACTGGTAATATTTGTATCAGGGTCGTTTATAAATGACGTAACACTCAAAGGGGGGGGGATGGGAGCAGAGGACAGCGTGGGGTGTGGGGGTGGGGGAGTCAGGAAATGTGACAATACACTTAATTGTGATGGAAGCATGGACGAGTCGGCAAAGCTCATGGTTGATAAATTCGAAAAAAAGTCTCGAGTTCAAACCCTCTGGCATATAAGGCTCGATCCCTCCCATAACTAAAAATTAAGAACGTAGAAGAAGAAAAATATATACATACATACATACATACATATATACATACATATATACATACATACATATATATATATATATATATATATATATATATATATATATATATATATATATATATATATATATATATATATATATATATATATATACCATATAAATATATCTTCCAATAAAAGAGTTGTACACTTACGATGTTGGTTTCGTCTATAAAGAAGAGCGACTCGAAATTCCCAGCATACACCTCAATCACACACGGGTGGATCAGGTAGGCCATGTACGTCAGACGACCCAGTAGGACAAAAGGGGACCAGGACAAGAGGACATTCACTGGCCCTGGATAACCACAAAAGGTCAAGAGTAAAGATTTTCGTTTAATACTCGGCAAACCTATGGTTGTTTTTTCTCTTATCAGTTATAATCTATTGATGATGGAAGCATATTTGGACAATTCAGATGGTGTGGTCGATTGAGAATGACGCCGACTTATTCGCCTATGAAATAGTTGTACTACTCTTTATGTTATGTCTGACATGTCTAATGTGGTCTAAAGAAAACATAGACTCTAGAGATGTCCACAAAAATTACGAAATTTCTAATTTCCTATCACTTATTGACAATATCAGTAAGATGGGTTAAAATCCGTTAGTATTCAACGGCATTAAAATCAGTCTTTTACGTTTTACTTGCACACGCTCAAAGCACACACATTTCTGAAATTTTACATCTATAAATGTCAGCGTTATGATGTTATGTTTAATTATTCGTATCACACAGCTGTATATATACAACAAACCTGTATATCCACCACACACCTGTATATCCACCACACACCTGTATATCCACCACTAACTTGTATTTCCACCACACACCTGTATATCCACCACACACCTGTATATCCACCACACACCTGTATATCCACCACACACCTGATATTCACCACACACCTGATATCCACCACACCTGTATATCCACCACACACTTGTATATTAACCACACACCTGTATATCCACCACACACTTGTATATCCACCACACATGATATCCACCACACACCTGATATCCACCACACCTGTATATCCACCACACACTTGTATATCCACCACACACCTGTATATCCACCACACACTTGTATATTTACCACACATGATATCCATCACACACCTGATATCCACCTCAACTGTATATCCACCACTTATATGCATATCCACCACATACATGTATATCCACCACACATGACATCCAACACATACATGCATATCCACCACACACTTGTATATCCACCACGCATGATATCCACCACACACCTGATATCCACCACACCTGTATATCCACCACACACTTGTATATTAACCACACACCTGTATATCCACCACACACTTGTATATTAACCACACACCTGTATATCCACCACACACTTGTATATCCACCACACATGATATCCACCACACACCTGATATCCACTATACCTGTATATCCACCACACACTTGTATATCCACCACACACCTGTATATCCACCACACACTTGTATATTTACCACACATGATATCCATCACACACCTGATATCCACCTCAACTGTATATCCACCACTTATATGCATATCCACCCCACACATGTATATCCACCACACATGATTTCCAACACATACATGCATATCCACCACACACTTGTATATCCACCACGCATGATATCCACCACACCTGTATATCCACCACACACTTGTATATTAACCGCACACCTGTATATCCACCACACACTTGTATATCCACCACACATGATATCCACCACACACCTGATATCCACCACACCTGTATATCCACCACACACTTGTATATCCACCACACACCTGTATATCCACCACACACTTGTATATTTACCACACATGATATCCATCACACACCTGATATCCACCTCAACTGTATATCCACCACTTATATGCATATCCACCACATACATGTATATCCACCACACATGACATCCAACACATACATGCATATCCACCACACACTTGTATATCCACCACGCATGATATCCACCACACACCTGATATCCACCACACCTGTATATCCACCACACACTTGTATATTAACCACACACCTGTATATCCACCACACACTTGTATATTAACCACACACCTGTATATCCACCACACACTTGTATATCCACCACACATGATATCCACCACACACCTGATATCCACCATACCTGTATATCCACCACACACTTGTATATCCACCACACACCTGTATATCCACCACACACTTGTATATTTACCACACATGATATCCATCACACACCTGATATCCACCTCAACTGTATATCCACCACTTATATGCATATCCACCCCACACATGTATATCCACCACACATGATTTCCAACACATACATGCATATCCACCACACACTTGTATATCCACCACACACCTGTATATCCAACACACACCTGATATTCACCACACCTGATATCCACCACACCTGATATCCACCACACCTGATATCCACCACACACCATATATCCACCACATCTGATATCCACCACACCATATATCCACCACAGCCGATATCCACCACACCTGATATCCACCACACATCATATATCCACCACATCTGATATCCACCACAGCCGATATCCACCACACCTGATATCCCCACACACATGTATATCCACAACCTACCCCCGTATCCACACCTACAGGCGACGATGACCCAGCAGATACAGACCCCCCAGGCTGACCTCGCCACAGCGTTGTACAACACTGACACGCCCACACTGCTGGGGGAATTTCCTGTGATGTCGCCATGGATACCGTACACTAGTATCAGCCCCGTTGCTATAGCTGCAGTCCATCCGATAGCTACCACATACTAGAAAAATAAAAGTAAGCGAATCCCATGAAATATGTATCCTTCGTTTTAAAGACGACTTATTTCTTTTTAAAATTATTTTTTGTGACATAAATATGATAGATTTGAGCTACATTATACTAGCGAAATAAATAAAGGTAATTCCCTGAAATGTATACATTTAAAGACGCTATACAAGTTTTGAGACATGGATATGTCGACTAACTCACAGTCTCGTCCAAAGATATTTTGGTAATATTTAGTTTGCAGTTTGCATTAGGTTTGGTTCACTTCCATGTAAATGTGTAAATTGTTTAGTTTATGTTTATGATCTAACTTCCCATCTTTGGTATTCGAGTTTTCCATACGTCTAGTTCTCATCATTGCAAATGTGTAAATTGTTTAGTCTATGTTTCCGATCATCTTGACTACGTTTGGTAGTCGAGTTTTTCCATAAATCTAGTTCTCATGAATGTGTGTACTTCTAATGAATGCCAATGTGTACATTGATTTGTCTATCTTTATACTTTATGATCTAATTTCCTACTTTTGGTAATAGAGTTTTTTCCATTAGTCTAGTTTTCATTAAGCTGAATGTGTATATTGTTTTGTCTATGTTTATGATCTAACTTCCTTGGTATTCATAAGTCAGTTCTCATAAACGTAAATGTGTAGATTGTTTAGTCTGTTTATGATCTAACTTCCTAACTTTGGTATTCAAGTTTTAAATAAGTCTAGTTCTCAGATTGTAAATGTGTTATTTGTCTATGTTTATGATATTCTTGCCTACCTTTGGTATTCAAGTTTTCATAAGTCTAGTTCTAACCGATGTCAATGTGTAAATTGTTTAGTCTATGTTTCTGATCTTCTTGACTACGTTAGGTAGTCGAATTTTCTGCATAGATCTAGTTCTCATGAATGTGTGTACTTCTCATGAATGCCAATGTGTAAATTGATTTGTCTATCTTTATACTTTATGATCTAATTGCCTACTTTTGGTAATAGAGTTTTTCCCATTAGTCTAGTTCTCATTAATGCCAATGTGTAAATTGTTTTGTCTATGTTTATGATCTTGCCTACGTTTGGTATTCACGTTTTCCATAAGTCTAGTTCTCATCATTACAAATGTGTAAATTGTCTATGTTTATGATCAACTTGCCTACCTTTGGTATTCGAGTTTTTCCATTAGTATGAGCCAGGTAACACCCGGCCAATATCCCAATAACGTACGGTCCAATCCTACAATAAGGCGCGATGTAGTAATGGGTCAGCCAATCAAGGCTAGGTGGCCTGAATTAGAAACAATGCAATCGTATATTCAATTGAAAGCATTGCTGTTCAATTCAGTGGGTGGTATAAAGAGAATTGAGTAGGTAGGTAGACGCTGGGACGCGTTTTCATAAAAGACATTAGTCAAGTCCGAAAATTGAGTCGTGGCTAGAGATTCTTTCAGGCATCTACCCGGTTAGGTAACTGACCATTCGGAGCGTGTCCATTCCTACCCATCCCCCCGGTTAAACTATATAAAAAAAATTAAATTCATATAGAAAAAAAAATTAACTAGTGTCCCCCTCCCCCGTTAATCAACGTAAATGTTTGCACGCGTCGTTGAGTTGAACTCACTTTGCGAGAGAAAAAAACGCTACCGGCCACCTGTTGACCGCCGTCAGGACACCTGCTATGATCCACTGTGCCAGCAAAAACGTTAGACAACTGGCCAGTCCAGCATAGAGATGGCTGGTCATATAGGAAAATGAATTTTATCATAACGCATAACAGTTCTATAAAAAGTACATTTAATTTGATTTTGAGTACTATACTTAAATTTCTAAAAAATATTGGAGCTTTAGTTACAATTTTAGAAAATTTTGCTTTTAAAAGAAATTTGAAGCATCTAACTTACAAATAGAAGGGGATGAGCATCAAAGGTGTGATGACGTAAAACTGCATGTCATTGGCCAGGTACCACGCATGGATAAAGCACTGCAGAAGAGATTCTAGTCATCAACATCGACATAAATATTTGCTATGTACCCAAGTCGCATTTAAATAACCACACTACACACCCCAGTCTAAAACGACGACCACAGCACACACAATCCTCATACTCTCAATCACCATCACTAATCACCAATCACCTAAACACTTAATCACCACTAACCCAATACTCAATTGCCAAAGCAACAATCAATTGATCTATCCATACACCCAATCACCCCATATACTCAATAACCAGATACCCAATCACCCCATATACCCAATCACCCAGATACCTAATCCCTCCATATACTCAATCACCCAGACACCCAATCCCTTCATATACTCAATCACCCAAACACCCATTCACCCCAAATACTCAATCACCAAACAGCCAATCACCCGATATACTCAATCACCCAATCACCAATCACTCGATTAACCCAATACCTCATCAGCGGGCCAGCTGTAAAAATTATTGATGTACAGAATGTTGGTCCACCAGTTGTTCTCACACGCGGTCTTCTGTGCGGGCTGGGTGCTGGCCCACAGCGCCCCCGACCCCATGAACTTCTGCAGACCCAACACCAACAGCATACTCAGCATGTAGGGCGGGGTCAGCCTAAATTAGAAATATGCACGTGCTGTTTCATGCTTGCTGTATGTGAGTTCTGTTTTGATTTGTTTTTTATTTCTACCTAAAATACAATGTTGCGTTATGACTGAACAATCATGGAAGGGTTAAGCCAAGAAGCGTATGCAGTAGGGGTGCAGATAGGGCGACCGCTTCCCCATGTTTAATTTTTTTTTTTAGAAAAGCGGCGGGTATTTCTTTAACATTTTTTGTTGAAAATAAAAACAAAGTATCATTAGAAGAAACATTAGTCGATAATTTGGCAATAGAGTGAAAAGTTGGCGGCTTTTTGTACATTCGATGCCCCCTCTGTCCAGGAAACCTAGCTATGCTCACCCACTACCCCCACCCCCCCCCCCCCCCCCCCAGGGTGGAGCACAGTATTGATAGCATTAACATCACTTGATTAGGCTTATGTATGACGTCACTGATTGGCTGAAAGGTATTCGAGTCGAGGAAAGTTAAAGACTACTTGGCAAACTGCTAGTCACACGGTCCTTCATAAATCAACAGATGAGCTCTACTTCACCTGCCGCATGGACCACCCCGTGAGGCACACAGCCAGGGATACAACGACAAGAGCGACATCAGCATTTTGTCTACGAATTCTCCACTGTAAATAACGTAGGGTTTCTTTCAGACATTTTTCTGCAGGTGGGGATGGGGCGTTGGGGCTTAAAACTAGAGTAGGGGGGGGGTGGGACAACTGACGCTGGTAAAAGTGTATTTTTTATTTAAATTATATATTTGTATTTCATTTCGTCCTTTCGGGGATACGGGGGTGGGGTGGGGGTAGTAGATGTGCTCTGGTGTAAAGGAGGAGGGAATGGGGTGTGCTCTGAAATTAACTCTCTCTGGGATCCACTTAATCTGGCGTGACATGAATATATCCCGAGTTGTTAGTTTTCAGACGCATAATTGAGTCAAATTGGTTTAGAAATCCTTTAGTAAACACACGCAGCTGTTTTCTATTTGGCTATTATTAATTTAATCACTGAAGTATGAAATGAATGTGAGTAATGAATTATTGATTTTTACCTCGTGTTTTTTGCAAATCCATTGACAATGTATTTCGTTCGTTAGTAACGCCTGGGGTTTGTTCAGTGAGTTTTATAAATTATTTAATGGCTTATTTAATCAACCGATGATGAAAATCTAAACAGTATTTTTTAAAAAAAGGTTCAGTACTATGATTGTATAAAATAATTATTTAAAAAAAATTAATATATCAGCAAACGAGAAACACTTCTTCTTCTTTCTTCTTCTTTGTTCTTAATTTTTAGTGTTGGAAGGGATCGAGCCTTATCTGCCAGAGGGTTTGAATTCGAGACTTTTTCGAATTTATCAACCATGAGCTTTTTGACAACTCGACCACGCCTCCATCACAATTAAGGATACATGTCAACTGGTTATGCGCCATTGAGGCCATTGATTCAGATTTCAGCCTGCTTTTCGTTTTGGATTTGCTTCCATAGCCTTTGTCTAACCAAGAACAAACTACAAGGCAGCAGTTGTTTGATTTTGGAATTGTATCTCCTAGAAGAGTTGCTGTCCTCAGCTAACGAGCCTCACCTGCCCGAGGGTTCGAACTAGAGACTTTTCGGTTTAGCAACCATGAGCTTTACCTACTCGACAAACACTGATTAGCTACTTATATGAAGGCACTGACCTCCAGAATCTGTGGAAATAGTAGATGGCCCAGTTGATTCTCCAACCTGTCTTCATGATCTCCTGGTACATCAGGTACGCCACGAGCAGGCCACTGTAGGTAAGACAAGTTGATTAGGCTGGTCACGTGAGACAAACTCATTAACTAGACAACTCACGTGATCACCATGTAATTCAATTTGAAAAGAAAAAAACTTGTCTTTTTTGACGGGTACTCTCTATTACGTCCGCAATAATTTCACTACATCGCGTATGATTGTGATTGAATAAGATTTCGCGAGAGGGTGTCGCAAAATAACATCAAGATAACTCAAAAACAGTTTCTGAACATTGTGAGGATGTATTCTTTGTTGAAGAAAAGGGTATGAAAATAGTATTCCTTATAAATGAAAGTAACTAAAACAAGTTAATTTCAGATCCTTTTTACGTTATTTTTTGTCTTGTTTGTAATGCGATCTTGTTCGTTTGATTTTAAACAATTTAAAAATTAAAAAAAAAGAAAGTATACAATACTTTTTAGGAAAAACTTGACTCCTACGACTTTGTCGTAACCTACATTAGTTCAAAAAGTAAAGTAATTCTAACTGCTATAAGTTATGTGCTTGAAGCTGTCCTAAAAATCGTACCTTATTGTGAAGAAAGTATCAACCGAGAGAAAAGCATTGGTGATGACGTCAAACGATCTCCGATGGAACCATTCATCCACCACAGTGAGGGCGTTGGCTAGAAAAGGAAGGAGAGCGTATTTCTAGGTTCAGATTCCACGGATATATCTGTCTGACCCATCAACCCCCCTTATCTGACCAACCAACCTACCTATCTGACCCACCCTCTCACCTATCTGATCCACCATCCAACCTATCTGACCAACCAACCTACCTAACTAACCAACCTTCCCACCTATCCGACCCACCCTCCCATCTATCTGACCCACCAACCTACGCATCTGGCACCCCCCCCCCCCCCCGAACATCTGACCCATCCTCCGACATATCTGACCCACCCTCCCATATACCAGACCCACCTTTCTTACAAACCCACTCAACTGTCTGACCCACCCTCCAACATAGGCTTACCAGACCCACCAACCCACCTGTCTGACCCACCCTTCCACATATCTGACGCACCCTCCCATGTACCAACCCACCAGCCTACCTGTCTGATCCACCCTCCCACATATCTGACCCACCAACCCCGTTTATCTGACCCACCCTCCCATATACCAGACCCACCCTCCCATATACCAAACCCACCCTCCCATATACCAGACCCACCCTCCCATATACCAGACCAACCCTCCCATATACCAGACCCACCCTCCCATATACCAGACCCACCCTCCCATATACCAGACCCACCCTCCCATATACCAGACCCATCCTCCCATATACCAGACCCACCCTCCCATATACCAGACCAACCCTCCCATATACCAGACCCACCCTCCCATATACCAGACCCACCCTCCCATATACCAGACCAACCCTCCCATATACCAAACCCACCCTCCCATATACCAGACCCACCCTCCCATATACCAGACCCACCCTCCCATATACCAGACCCACCCTCCCATATACCAGACCCACCCTCCCATATACCAGACCCACCCTCCCATATACCAGACCCACCCTCCCATATTCCAGACCCACCCTCCCATATACCAGACCCACCCTCCCATATACCAGACCCACCCTCCCATATACCAGCCCCACCCTCCCATATACCAGCCCCACCAACCTACCTGTCTGAGGTGCAGGAAATACAAAGAAATGTCCCAGTATCACCCAGGACATGCTCAGGAACCTGATTCCGTGGATGGCCGTCAATGACCCCGGACTCTGTGAGGTGTTGAGAACCTTAGAACCGTTGGTGTACACTGAGAATGCTATGAGAACCTTTGACAAGATACCTGCAGACAATAATTTGATAACCCGTCACACGCTTGATGATATTTATCTTGAATGTAAACAGTATATAGACCTATACGGTAAAACAAACGACGCACTATATCATGGCATTAAAGCGAAAAACCTACCAAGATTGCTTGATATGTTTTCGTCTGTCAGGGGTTTACTTTCGGATTCGTAATCCACAACCTCATCCATCACATCAGGGTCAAGGTCGAGCTCTTTCATCCCGGCGTCGTTCTTTTCTGAACCCACTTTTCCGTTAAACAGACCCACTATTGTCTTATCGTCATCTGGCAAGAGTTGATACGTGCCTCGATGTGCACTGTGTTTGGGAGATACGCCCAGGATGTTCTTGGATGGTGCTTTGAACTCCAGACGGTGAAGGATGTCCACGATAGTTCCAGCAACCATCAAAATGGCGATGATGGATAGAGCAACGCTAGAACAAATTCAATTTTAAGTTGTGGGGACTACAAATTAATCAAAATGACAATTCGACTTTACTCATAACTAAAGTGTCCATTCGTAATTTCCCCTTCACTCCCTAACCAAAAAACAGCATTAAAAATCTTGAAACTGTAAGGAATTTCATCTTCGATATAGAGAAAAGGTTATAGTCTGTTGTGTAACTCTGAGAGGAAGCAGGGTCTGTCGACCTCAGACTTCTATATTTCGATAAATATTTTATAAACGAAGAATATCGTGGGTTCGTCCAATGCGTGAATTCAATTTTATTTTTAATCGAACAACGCCCTTTCTTATACGTTTAGAAACTTTACTTTGTTAAACCACCAACTTACAGTTGAAAAAAAAACAACAAACACTTCATTAAAGCAATTAAATCATCAATTTGCATAACATACGCTTTTGTTAAACAAAGCCCGAATTTCCCCTTTGAGAACCCTACCACTCACATAACCAGCTTAGCTTAGTCCTCTTTGCTCCTTATGGAGCATAGGGCCTCCACCATTTCCTTCCATTTCTTCCTATCCTCGGCTATTAATTTTGACATCTCCCAAGACATCCCTATTGGCTTCAGTTCTTCAAGAAGACTCCGCCTCCAGGTCTGTCTTGGGCGCCCTCTCTTCCGCTTTCCCTGGGGGTTCCACTCAAGCGCTTGGCGTGTAACATTTGTGTGAGCCTTTCGCAGTGTGGGACTCACATAACCAGAACTTCCCTTAAACCTCCAACCTACATAGCCAGAACCTCCCCTTAAACCTCTAACCTACATAGCCAGAACCTCCATTAAACCTCCAACCTCCATAGCCAGAACCTCCATTAAACCTCCAACCTCCATAGCCAGAACCTCCCCTTAAACCTCTAACCTACATAGCCAGAACCTCCATTAAACCTCCAACCTCCATAGCCAGAACCTCCTTTAAACCTCCAACTTACATAGCCAGAACCTCCATTAAACCTCTAACCTACATAGCCAGAACCTCCATTAAACCTCCAACCTACATAGCCAGAACCTCCCCTTAAACCTCCAACCCCCATAGCCAGAACCTCCATTAAACCTCCAACCTCCATAGCCAGAACCTCCCTTAAACCTCCAACCTACATAGCCAGAACCTCCACTTAAACCTCCAACTTAGGTAACCAAAACCTCCTCACCTCCAACCTACATAGCTAGAATATTTTAAACCTCTAACTTACATAGTCAGAACCTCCTTTAAACCTCCAACTTACATAGCTAGAACATTTTAAACCTCTAACTTACATAGCCATATCCCCCCCCCCCCTTACAATTCCAACTTACATAGCCAGAACCGTAGCTTTAGTGAATTCCCTCGACTCTGTCCTGCAGTCGGTAGGTCCTACTGTCAAAACTCTTGTCAAGTTCTGGGCACTTAAAGCTATAGGGAATAGAACATGTGTGAGTAATTTCTTTTGTAATTACTAATTAGCCACAGCAAGGCTACTTGATTACACAAACCAGTAGCGTAGCGAGGGGGGGGGGCGGGGGGGGGGGACATATGTCCCCGGGCGCCGACCTTAGGGGGGGCGCCAAATTGAAAGTTTGAGGGGGGGGGGTGCAAATGAAAAGTTCGAGGGGGGGGGGTGCAAATCGAAAATTTTCTCTCGAGGGGGCGCCAAATTTGAAGTATGTCCCCGGGCACCGGGAAGGGTCGCTACGCCTCTGACACAAACTTAAATCATGAAGTTTAGTTTTAGTAAACAGGGATGTAATAATATTTAGGATTAAACTTACGGCAAGGGCAGAGCTACGGTTAAGACCAGGGGTTCCCAACCCCGTGCCCGCGGGCGCCATGGCGCCCGCCGAACGATTCGCATGTGCCCGCCTCTCACTATTCGACAGAGACAGAATTATTTTCATAAACATTATTGAAAGGTTGAAGGGGATGGAAATCGAAAGTTTGAGAGGGGGGGGGGTGCAAATCGAAAATTTGAGGGGGGGGGAGGTTCAAATCGAAAGTTTTGTCCCCGGGTGACGGGAAGGGTCGATACGCCTCTGGAAGGAGTTTGTCGATTTAAAATAGGTGGTGCCCGCCACTCTACCGATATTTTAGAATGTGCTCTAAAGTAAAAAATGGTTGGGAACCCCTGGTTTAGACTAAGGTACGGTTTTGGCTGATGTATCAACGTTACCTGTAATGCTAAGTAGTACGATAATTTGAGGATGGGTATTCGAAGTGGACTTTACTTTAACACAACCCTAATTTTTTTTGTCTACCTCGGAATTTTATGAGCAACCCAAGACTACTGTGGATTGCTTTTTGCTTGTAATAAGTTCACAATGCAAATTTCGAGATTGTAAATATCTATGAGGGAGTAGGTTAATGATTCCACTGCTTAAATAATCTCAATAAACTGGATCTGGTGTAACATAGCTATCAGTTCTTTTATAGAAAAATGCCTTAGCTTACCTAGAATGCCTTACCTTAACTATAATGTCCTACCTGATCTAGAATGTCTTAACTGATCTAGAATATCTCACTTTGTTTGATAAGACTTACCTTGTTTGATACGACTTAACATTTTTGATACTACTTACCTTGTTTGATACGACTTACTTTGTTTGATACGACTTACCTTGTTTGATACGACTTACCTTGTGTGATACGACTTACTTTGTTTGATACGACTTACCTTGTGTGATACGACTTACTTTGTTTGATACGACTTACCTTGTTTGATACGACTTACCTGCTTTGATACGACTTACCTGTTTTGATACGACTTACCTTGTGTGATGAGTTCTGTGATCTCAGTAGGCGAGCAGGTGTCTGGCACACATATCCCCACCTGTACGCCGATTGCTCCCACTACCACAAAGAAGGTGTTGAAGGCCTAAAAAAATGTAGTAAAAAAAATCACCTATATTACCACCAGGTACGACAATAAGCTCACACGTCGTCCAAGGGTCTACTCAGGTTAGGGGAAATTGTGGGTGCCACAATGTATGTTTACTGCAAATGTTGTCGGTGTCTTTTGTCGTTTAAGGTTTACAATTTCAAAATGTTGAATGCGAAAAACACGTCACAAGTAGATTATGGTCATTAATATATATATAAATATATCTAATATATAAAGCTCAGTTCTGTATGTAACGCATATGTTTGTCGTTGGTCTTGGATGGATTTAAGTGTTAGACAATTATCGTGCGCATTTGTCTAAATTTATGAGTTAAAAAATTACTATTGAAAGTGTTGGGAAATAATTTTCATTTTTCAAATTATAGTAATAATTGTCGGCATGTTCATTAAACACAAGTTTTAAAAAAATATCATCTTTTACAAAAATTCTAATTATGTCTTTATTTAGTCCTATAGCACTTACTTCCCTTTGATAAATTAGGAAAACACAATTACTTCCCTTTATAAAACCATTGCATTTTGTGGAAAATAATTTACTTTTTAACACGTTTTTAACACGTTTTTATTAACTCAGCTTCGCGTGTGTTTGTTTGTTGTTAAAATTGACATCGAAAATTAGCCCACTTCTGATTGCTCTATAGATCTGAAATTTGGCATGCAGGCTACTTTCGCCTAACAATTTCAGATGCAATCATAAAAACTAGCAATTAGAGACCGTAATTAGCTTAATTTAATTACGCCCTAAGGACCATAAAATTGAGGACATGATTTCTAAAGATACCGACAAGACTGGAGGCCTATTGACACAGTTACTTCGGCCCCAATCGATGTGAGCGCACTGGCCGTGATCGTATAGTGGTTAGTACTTCGCGTTGTGGCCGCGACAACCCAGGTTCGAATCCTGGTCGCTCAAGATTTTTAGTCCGTGTATTTATAAACACTTAGTCAAGTCATACTTAATCAAGTCATTAGATAAAGTAGAAAATAAACTATATAAAAAACTTTTTTAAAAACCACGTTTTTCATGTGTAGCAACGGACTAAAAAGGAGAAAATAAAATACTTAAAAAAAACGTTTTAAAAAACCACGTTTTTCTTGTGGACTAAAAAGTAGAAAATAACTATTTACATACATTTGATGACAAAAAACGTGGGTCGGGCAGATGGGTCGGGAAATTTGATGGTGAACGTACCCACGTTTTTTGTCATCAAATGTATGTAAATAGTTATTTTCTACTTTTTAGTCCACAAGAAAAACGTGGTTTTTAAAAAAGTTTTTTTTAAGTATTTTATTACTAACTCAGCTTCGCGTGTGTTTGTTGTTAAAATTGACATCGAAAATTAGCCCTGATTGCTCTATAGATCTGAAATTTGGCATGCAGGCTACTTTCGCCTAACAATTTCAGATGCAATCATAAAAACTAGCAATTAGAGACCGTAATTAGCTTAATTTAATTACGCCCTAAGGACCATAAAATTGAGGACATGATTTCTAAAGATACCGACAAGACTGGAGGCCTATTGACACAGTTACTTCGGCCCCAATCGATGTGAGCGCGCTGGCCGTGATCGTATAGTGGTTAGTACTTCGCGTTGTGGCCGCGACAACCCAGGTTCGAATCCTGGTCGCTCAATATTTTATGATGATTACTAAACACACAGGTAATGGTCTTTAACAGAAAGGTTTTTCACAGAAGCCAGAGCAGGGCCTGGCCGGGACGGCTAGTATATATATAACAACTACTATGACAAATTACTGCCTACACCACTTACAGTACCACTATATCTCTCACTAATTGGTCATGTATCAGTGACGATTGTTTTGTGTTTCGCCACCCCCCCCCCTTTTTTTTCCCCTTCTCACACACACACACATGCAAGCACGCACACAGGCACACACCCACACACTACCCATTATGCTACTCGGTCCGTTTAGTTGTTTGGTCAGATCCTGTTATGGACGTGTCAGTCAATAAGAAATTTAATAAGAGTCTTCAAAAAAAAACCCCACACACCCATACACATACACATTTGCACATTCACAAACACACACCTTATATATATATATATATATATATATATATATATATATATATATATATATATATATATATATATATATATTTATATAAATACATATATACCAATGCTCTTTAAAATGAGGAATTAATAATGCAGAAAGATATCAAAACTAAAGAGTGACACGAATATTTGGTCATAGATTAGTGAAAAAACTGGCCAGGTCTACCTGATCGATGGGCATCACTTTGACGACACAATAGTTCCCGCCAAAACCTCGGCCATCTTGGGGTGGTAGAGGCGGAGCCCGGGTGTTACGACACTGCTGGTAGCTCCCCACAAAGTTGATATGGCCCTCTAGCAGAGAGGCCCCGGGCTTTCCCCATGAGTCAAGCACTAGAGGTGGGGGGGGGGGGTGAAGAGAAGAGGTTAGTTAGTAAGTGGAAAGAGCGGTTTATAATCAATTTATTTTGTGCGGTTTGTCTTTCCTTCTGCCATTATGTCTTTTGTTGGAAACTTTGCACCTCATTTTTAACCCACTTCTAATGGCATCATTAACTTTGTCGCTAATGAAAACGCAAGAATATCCAATTTAAAAAAAAATAATTTATTCAATATTTAAAAAGACATTAAACATAAACGTACTGATTACTATATTCAATACCAAAAGCGGAGAAAACAGGATAAAGTACTGGCTAACGCAGGATTAGCCAATGTGAACTGTTAGTCACGAATGACTGGTTTCACGCTTATGAACAGACCATGGATCCTTATGAAGGACTGATAGTTTAAAATATACATTTGTAAATGTTTCTTAAAGGTAAAATATCCACTTGCTATTTTATTATTTAAAATTCCTTATTACTAAAACGTAAGAAATAAAACAGGCAAAAATGCTCTAACAAGATGCCTTAACACGCAATAAAAAATAAAACATTCTT